GGGGGGGGAGGCGTTGTTGATTGTCGTCGGACACAGCGAGTGCAGTCGGCCATCCGGCAGATGCGGCAACAGCAGCACCTGCAGTGGGCGCACCGCACGCAAACGCCCGGGGGTGCGCTGCCGGCGAACTCACGATCCATGCAATATTTTCTCACCTGGGGTGCATGAGGCTCAAGACATGCTCAAGCAGCTCGCTCAGCAGGGGCGGGCCGCCCTGGAGGTGGCGCTGGCGCCGCATCGGGGGCGCGGTCGGTGTCGCCCGTGGCGCGCCGCCAAGAGGGGGCCCGAGATGCGACTGAACAGCGCTCTGGACGTTCTTGAATCAGTTGAGGGGGCCGCGGTGGACTTGGGTGGCTCGAGCGCAGAGCTGCACAACAATTGTGGTGCTCGCGATCTTCCCGGGGCAACGCTGGCGCGCTGGACGTCACTAACAAGTTGTTTCAATCTTTAGGCGAATAAGGACATCGACCGGCGGCGAAGCTCAACACAGAGAGCAGAGTTCAAGTGCCGATCACGGCGCAAGGTGGTGTAAGCTTGTCAAGGGACTGTAAATGAATACAATGGGTCAATAAATGAACTGTGTCTGGGTCTAAAGAAGACCACGCATCCTGGAAATTGAAATGGCGAAAGGGTTGGCTCCTCGCAAGCGCATACGGCTGCGGAGGCGCGTCAACATGTGACAATTCAAACTTCAAGGTGATCCTGAGCTTAGGCAGGCCTCATGCGCTCGCTGTGCACAACAACACTCGTTGTCGTGGGGTGCAGTGACGCCGCTGCACCAGTCCACCTAGGACAGCCGTGCTTGTGCGATTTGAGACAAGTTGGGGCGTGTGGATGGCCAGCTCGCTTCAAACTGGGCGCATGGAGTGGATATAGTGCGCTTATTTCTCACTCTGGAAGCCACATTATTGTGAGATAAACATGATGCGGTTGTGCGGCTCAACTGCAACACAACACGAGTTTGGATTCGCCCTGCTCACCCATCGCGCTAGTACCTGAAATAGTGGTTGATGGGGCCTAACCTGGAAACAATTGAAAGCAAGCACATAGGACGTGTGTCATAGATTGACCCCACCTGGCCTGCCGAATGGCCTTGAATCGGGCAGTACAAGCAGACTGACAGATCTGATTGCACGCGTTGATACAGCTGATACAAGGTTGGTTCCTGATAACCTCAGTGTTATCTCATTTCTGTGCTGGTGCTGGGACCAAGCAGGGACAGTTGAAGTCGTAGCGATGCTGTGGTAGTTGAGCCATCCACCAGTTTGTCACCATTTGCGCCTGGCCAAGCGTTTCAAGCCTGCAAAAAGCTCTTTGGTCCCCTCTTCAGACTCCCAACTATGACTCCAGTGCGCACTGTCACGCTCCGTTGCACCATCCGCCGGGCGCTTGTGTCCCAACCAAGACCTGTATGTGGTTTGCAATGAGCCGTTTGACGGCGAGACAAACATATGGAACAAACCCCGACCCATACAACGGAGGCGCACTAGTTATCTTATTGAGCCCATGGTGACAAATCGCCTTGAGAGGACAGCGTGGACATGCCCATTGCTGCAATGACTGCTGGTGGGGCTGGCCAGTGTAGCTGGCCCTTACCAGCCTTTGAACGAGCTAGCCGATTGTTAACGTTGCGCACCGTCCAGCCACGCAGCGCCTTTCTCCAGAACATTTCAATACGGTCAAAAAGTATGACAAGGCAGAGCCACCTGTCAGGGGTAATGCCCCTGAACAACAGACGTTTGTCACAATTCCATTGATAAGTCATTCATGCTGTTATATTGTTCACCTCTTGAAGCTTTCCCGGTTTTGTTTTGGGTCCACCAGAGCCCAAGGCACATCGCTGCCAAACGAAATGGCCAGTCATCGCTGCGAGTAACCGCCTTGTCATGTTGCCAAGCCTCTGGTTCGGAGGTTGTACAACTCAGCGGGGCGCATTATGATGTGCGAGGAAAACTAACATCGTTTCTGATAGACAACCCTGGGCCATCAAGGGGCCCAAATCCCTCCATGTACGTTAGGGCCCGTGCATCCTACTGCAGCCGCCTTGGAGTTGCGACAGCCAACTGAACTTGGGCGCTGCGGTGTACTCGGGTGACTCGGCCGGCTTCCAAGAGATATAAATATCCTGGAAAATCTTGTACAAGTCTGCGGAGGCAACGGTGGTCGTTGGGTACCCCGCACTCCATTCATCAGCGGCTACTCAGCAATAAGAGGCGAAATTTGAATTCCGTCGGCGGCGCTTTTAATTCGTTGTACTGTAATAATTATAATTGCCGGGCAATAATCGCAGTCACCCCGGGTTAGCCAACAGCTTGTGTTGGTTCCTTGGTAACTTGGGGGCTCGACGTGACGGCCGGGCTCTGTGCGTCAGGAAAGCACTCGCATAGATTATCCATCTGATTCTCTAGCTCATAGCACATCTGGGGCGGCATGGCGAGCTCACGGGTCGTGTGGGCGAACAGCTTTGTGCTCCTCGTCTGCCTGGCGAACCTTGCGCAGGCCGCCTTCTTCCGTGGGGACGAAAAACTCGGGGTGATTGCTTACATACGCATACAGCGGGCGCCTTGTGTGGCATGCAGTGGTCAGGGGGCGGTGGGTTAGCTTCGGCGCAGTGCTCTAGGCAGTGCCGCATGCAGTGCAGGCCGAACCTAGCTCGGACGGCGCTGCGCGTCAGCAAGGAGCGGCCAGCGCCGCCTGTTGATCACAGCTTTTGTGCTTACTCAGCTCAGCATCAATGCTGCCACGAGCTGTGGCCTGCACATCACAGGACGCGTTTCACCATTGCGCCCCAGCTTCCTGCCGCCCGCTCACTCCTCGTGCACACGTCCTGCGGCAACCCTTGTGCGGCAACCGCGCCCGACACCCCGCCCCCGCCCCGCCCGCCCGCGTCCCAGTATGACGAGCCCGCGGGCACCGTTCGCGGCGCGTACAGCTACGTCCTCTGCGAGACCGACGCCGTGATCGAGCCGAACAGCACAGATGACGTTGCAGCCGCGCTCAAGGCCTACTCAGCACAGGCCCGGGCGCAAAACCAGACGCTCAAGGTCCGCCTCACCCAGCGCCTGTTCCACTCGTCCGCGGCGTTCACGTGCCCTGCCCAGAGCGAGTCGCTGCCGCAGCAGGGCGGCGCCGCCAACCCCCCCAGCGTACTGGCGGTCAGCATTATTCAAAACACGATGAGCAAGGTGCTCTCCGTCGATAAGGAAGCCCTGCAAATGCGCGTTCAGCCGGGCATCCACCTGTGGGACCTTGCCCAGGCCGCTGGCGCCCACGGCATGACCATCTCTGTCGGCTCTGTCCCTGTGTTCGGCGGCCTCACCCTCGGCGGCACGATCGCCGCCGGCGCGCACGGCTCCGGCGACGGGCCCGCGGCAGCGGACACGCCCATGGACATGGTGCGGGAGGTGGTGTGGGTCGACGCGGCCGGGGAGAGGCACGTCGCAACGCCGGCGAGCCCCGAGTGGAACGGCCTCTACGGCGGCCTCGGGTTGGTCGGCGTGATGACCGAGTTCCTGCTGCAGCTCAACCCGCCCAGCCACACGCGCTTCAAGTCGTTGCTCAAGGTGTCTGACAAGAACATGGTTCAGGACCTGGAGAGGATCTTGAATGAGGTGCGGGGCGCTTTTTGGATGCGGCTGCCGCGGGGCGGGTGCAGTTGGCAGGGGAGGCATTGTTGGCGGCCGCCGGCCTGGCCACTTTTGCTGTAGGCCGGGCACAGGATTGGATGCAGCTAGGCCCCGTGGCAGGGGGCGGCCGCGTGGCTGTCGCTGTGCAGGGGTATGGGGTAATGCGGTACTAGGACGCCATTTGGCGGCAGGATTTGGAGGGAGCAATATGCAGTTGAGCAGCCCGGCATGCTCAGATTTGATACCTGTGACAAACCCCTCAACCCTGTTTGCGACTCAGCCGGCAGCGCAGCGTTGACAGGCCCTGCCGACCCACACGCACGCCCAAACCACCAGCAGCCGGCCGCACGCACCCCTTTTGCCCCGGTTGCCTGCGCCCATCAAGCTGAAATCCATTTATCCGCAACCACCGCGGCCGCCTCCAAAACCAGGGGAACTCGGACGTCCTGCTGGTGTGGCGCCCCGACATGCAGGAGTACACGGTCAACATGATGACCGAGGTCAACACCTCTGTGCCCGTCACCGACCCCGAGCTCGTCAACACCATGCTGGCAGACTGTAAGCGCACGCCCGGCGTCCCCGCGCCCGCCGCCCGCCCCGCCGCGCGCGTCCGCCGCCGCACGCAGCTGTGGGGCGCAAGCGGGCGGCCCTCCTGCCCGATGGCCGAGCGCGCGTGCGGAGCCCGCCTGGTTGTGTCTCTGACACCACTAACTCGCCGCCCTGCCGCCGTGGGTGCCCCCGCCGCTCCCAATCCTGCGAATCGCCGCAGTGCGCTACGAGGCGCCCATTGGCAGCGCCAACCGGGACAACCAAGGGGACATCCGCGACAATGCGTTTGGCATCATGAACAGCGTGCTTGGCTACTTTGTCGAGCGTCTGACCGTCGGCCGCGGCTGGGCGGGCAAGCCGGGCGGCAGCGTGGCAACCGACACAGAGGGCGTTGGGCTCACCAACCGGCTGCAGACGACGATGCCGTGCGCGCCGAACTGCCTGTTTGCGGGGAAGCAGTATGATGCGACCGCGGTGGGTTTGGGATGGGGGTGGGGAGGGGCCCAGCGCTGCAGGCAGCGGGGGTTTGCGAGAGGCGAGGCAGAGCCGGTTGGGGTGGCCGTTGCGAGGCGGGGCCAGGCCACAGCGGCAGCGTCCAGACCGCATCTCACGGGTAGCCGGCGGGCGCGGCGGCCTGGGCAAGACGGGGCTGGACCAGCATTGCAGGAGGGCTGCTCTGCTGCTCCCACCCCAACAAGCGACCGCCGCCCCTCACACAATTGTGCGCGCCGTCACGCTGTCCCCACTGGCCTCCCAACCGTCACTCCCACCCGTCACCCGTCGTCACCGCAGTACGACACCGAGTTCACGATCGAGTTTGAGCACCTGCAGCAGTGGGTGGATGATGTAAAGCTGGTGCTTCAGAAGGACCTCTGGCGCGATGGCGCGACCCGCGCGCGCTACCTCGGCCCTGGGTGAGAGGGCGGGAGCCGCCGCTCCGCTGCCGCCCCTCTCTGGCCCAGCCCGCAGCTGGCGGGTGGCGGACCGAGAGAGCGGATGTTTGCCGCGTGGGCCACGGCACGGCACGACGCGTGGGCGCGGCGCGCGGCTCCCTCGTCCTCCTTCAGCTGGCAGCCGCTCACGTCTGCATCAACGCTAATCCCTCAAAGGCACATGTGGACCCGCCATTATCCCCCCGCCTCTCCCTCAAGGTACATGTGGCTGCGAGTCGGCAGCGGCCGCCCCGAGTACTTGGCGACCCAGTACGGCATGAAGCGCCCCGTATTCGTGCAGTCCACGTGGCTGCGCTCCCGGGAAATCTTCCAGTACCCGATGCGATACGGCTATGTGCAGGTGGGCGGGGCTGCGCACGGGGTGCTTGCCTAGGACTGGCACCGGCAGGCTGGTCCGCGCTGGTGGGGGCGCCTGCAGCGCTCCCCTGCGCTGCGGCGCGGCGGCTGTGCGCGGCACCCCTAAGCTTTCACGCGTCCCAGGGATTTGCGGGCCCCCCCTCCTCCCGAGCTGCGGCCCTGTGTATGCGCTGCAGCCCACAAGCCTGCTCTCTCCCTCGCCTCCCTCGCACCAGCGGCGCAATCACACATTGCGTCGCCTCGCCTGCCGCACTCAACTATATACTGCGCCGCCCCCGCCCCGCAGGACCTGTTTGAGCTGCTCGGCCTCGCCAAGTACAACGGCACGGGCCGATTCCACTGGGGCAAGAACACCGACCGCACCTTCACCGACCCCCGCTTCCCCACGCGCCCGCGCTACCCCGCGTTCGACAAGATGCTCGAGCTGCAGGCGCGCTTCGACCCGGATAAGGTCTTCGAGCCGCCGCTCTTCGCCAAGGTCGCCGCGGAGAGGCCCTACACCCACTTCCCTGGCTGCGCGCTCAGCTACGAGTGCTTCTGCACCGAGGACGCCCACTGCAACTTGCCTGGCCGCCAGGTGGACTTCAAGTGCCTTGAGAGCAGCGCCTTTCCCGAGTTCAAGGTCTGCAAGGGGCCCGCGGACTGGGACCCGACACTCCTGGCGCGCTACGGCAAGGGGATCTGGGTCAAGCGCACCGACGCCTCCCCGCTCCTCAAGTTGGCCGGCGGCGTCTCTGACCAGCTGATGCGCCACCCGGTGACCGCGGGTTTGCTGACGGCGTCGAGCAGCCTCATGTCTTCGCTGCCGATGTTGCCGGTGCTGGGGCACCGTAAGTGACCGCGCCTGCCCGGCCCGAGCTGGGGGGGCGTGGTGGCCACCTTTTAGGGCGCCCGCACCCCGCGCGTCAGGTGCGGGTGCCGTGCAGCGCAGGCCGCTGTTCAGGAGGGGCTGCGATCTTGACTTGCAACGGCTAGCCAAGCAAGATCCACCTGCGAACGTTGGGAACCGAAACGCGCACTATGCCTTTTTCTATTGCAGCTTGTGCCACCAACTGAGTCGGACGGTGCGCCCCACTCAAACGGGCCCGGACCGTGCTATGCTTGGGGCGCAGCGCACCACCCTTTCCCTCTGAGAGGACTGTGGTTTCCTTGCTTTAGCTTCATTGGCCGTTGGACTTTTGACCGGCGATCGCGCCAAGATGCTTTCACAGCTGACCACACCTTGAAAGGGGGCTATTGCTGGCATTGGTCTTGGCAGTGGGGCACCAGGTTTGTCCAGGACATTGAGTGGGGTTCCATGCGCAACCAGAAGGGATCGCAGGCGTGAATGTACATACCTGCTTGTGTGCAACACGCAATGTTGGGGGGCGACGCCTTTGAGTCGGCCGTCCCCCTGCACCCTGCACGGCACGTGCTGCAATTTTCAAGCGCTGCGATCTTGCGTGCTGGAACGCACCAGGGCGCCGTTGTGGCGTTTCTGGCATGGCACTCTCACGGCCGCGCGAGGGCTGCCATGCCGTCTTCCTGCATCATAAAGGTTTGAACGACTGCTGCTCCTCAGCCAAACCGATCTGCGGCGTGGAGCGCGGTGACGCATCAAACGCCGGCGGCTTCCTTGTGCACATCGGTCTGTCTTGCATGGCAGGGTTTCTGCCATACCAATAAGGGGGCGGGGTACTTGGTTGATCGGGGGGTTTGACGTTTGCACTGCCCAGCTCGCCGTCGCCTGTGCGCGTGGCAAACGCGAGCTGCCTGTAACACGGGCAACAGGGAGCAGGCGCCCCGGCCTCGCCCTTTGCAGGTGTGGCCTTGTCACCAGCGCGTGGCATGAGCAGGCTGTGCCTTAGCAGCCCTAGCATGCAAGCTGCAGCTCTGGACAGGTGAGCAATGGGAGACCATCCACACAGTGCCTGTTGGACGCAGCCAGTCGTACACAACCACAGACCACCGTAGGGCGTACACTGCTCCACGCACACTCCGCCAACACGGCTTGCCTGGCTGCTTGACACGCAAAGATGATGTCACATGTGCCAAGCAAAAAATAATTCAGCACTTTCTACAAGCAGGCCAATGGCTCTGAACAAATACCCGGCCGCATTTGTTACAAACCATGCAGCGCCCACATGTATTTCGAACAGAGTGCCTCATAGAGGCAAGCACAGAAGCAACAAGGGATTAAGCCGTGCAGTGAATGTGAACCAATGAAACTCCACAGACAGACAAGAAACCATGCACAAACGAGCGCACTTCCGCTCCTGCACCTGCGGAGATACTCATCCGCTCACACAATCCAGGCGGGGCTTGCGCCCATGGCGCCTAGGGGTCCTTCCCGTCGAAAGCCGCAGCCATCGCCTGCAAGGGCATGGTGGGCGAACACACACGCAGCGCCGCCGCGCCCAGTGCCGCGAGCCGGCAGGTAACCGTCGGCCTGACGGATCCTCAAAAGCGCTCGCAGCGCGGCACATGGAGGACCGCCCGCGCCGCCCTCACTGTGTCTTCCACGGCTCTATGGGGCCGAGTGCCACGGTCATGCCGTTGAGCTGCGGCGTGAGGCGGATGAAGTGCGCCATGCGGCTGTTCTCGCGCGCGTTTTGCCGTACCTGCGGGGCACGGGCATTTTGCGGGGAAAAGGTTGGCGGCGCGGGCGGGCGCGGGGGTGGGCAATAGGGGATGCGGGGGTGGGCGCATGGAGCGCGGCCAGCCCGACAGGCCTGCCGTCTCGTTACAGACTCTGTGCCGTGTAAAGGCTCGCTCTGGTTGCCCCTACCTTGCCTCATCAGACCCAGGGCGGCCTCCCTTGCCTGCTGCTCCATCTCCAGGGCCCTGCAACCACAGCCCGCTGTTTACCTCCCTCTTCCCACGCGTCTGCACACGCCACTGATACATATGCAAGCGCGTGTGCATGCAACCACGCGTCCACATATATACGTATCTTTGTCGACACAGCACTCCTGCAGCACACACGGCACCCTCCCGCACGCGGCACTCACGAAGTCCTCCACCAGGCGCTGCTGCTCCTTCTGCTGTGCGCTGTCGAGCGGCGTCAGCTTGTCGATGTAGTCATTGCCGACGTACACATGGCAGTCTGTCGAGGCGGGCTCCATTGGGTGCGGCATAAAGTAGGACTCGTCAAAGGCGCCTGGAGGACCGGGTAGGGTTGGAGCAGCGGACACAGGCCGCATGATGAGCGGTACTTCCAGGATGCACACCCGCCATGTACAGCAGCGCTGCCTTGTAATTCATGAGGGCATGGCATCTACTTTGATCCGGACATGCGACGCAGCCATGCGGCTCATGCCGGACAGCGTGCGGCAAAGCGGCGCGCGCACCGTACTCGCGCAAGGTTGCCGACAGCGTGATTCCCTCCAGGCCCCGCACGGTATGCCGGGCACCCGACTTGTCTATAACGTAAAACTGAACCATCTTATCAAAAACAGTCGGCGCAGACTGAATCAGCCTTGCCCCAGGCCCTGCGAGCGGCCTGAAGTACCGAGCTAGGCTGCGCAGCGCCATTGATATTGCTAGTGATGCTCTCTGTCAAGTAATGTGTCTGGCGTGCCGGCTTGCTTCGCAATGCAAGGGAAGTGACTGATCTGACGCTTCAAGCCGCGCCTGATTCAGGATGTAGTTTGACAGCGTTGTTGCAGCGCAGATAGCGTGTGAGATGTGCTTGTCTGGTCCAAGGGTGTCCAGATCACGTCAGACGGAGGTGCAGCTTCCGTGGGAACCCCGCCGAGACACCTGCACCGGCCGAACACAAGCAAGCGCGGCCTGGTCAGAGCTCGTGATCAGTGATGGCCTTCGCCTGTTATGTGGCAGCACCTTTTGATTAATTGATTGATTGATTGATTTTTACCGCGTCTGCAGCTGCAAGACTCACCGGGACACGGTCGCCGCGACGGCCCCACGGCTCATCGCCTCCGTCTCACAAAGTGGGCGGGGCAAGCAAGATTGTGATAGATAGATAAGTTACCCATACCATAGCATCACTTCCGTCGGCCCCGCGCTCATCAGAGTCGACCTCCTCATTCCAAACCTTCCAACGGATCTGCCAGCAAGCACACACACACGAGGGGCAACGATACCAGCAAGCACAGAGCCACCAAGAAAATCAAAATCAAGCAACTTGTAAGCTTTCTCCTCATTCTCTATCTGCTGCAACATATGCCAATATTCAGGCGCCATCTCGTCTTCCAGTCGCCGCCACAGCTCTCCACGCACAAGCAAGCAGGCAAGCGTGACAAGCGCTCCACCCACGCAGCCCAGCAAGCACCCACACCCACACAAACGCCGGTGGACATCCCCTCCCGAAACCGGCCGGCGGCGCAGCAAGACACAACACGCGCAAGACCCGAGCCCCGCGAGGGGACCGGAATAAGCGGTGTGCAAGCAAATGAAGGGCCTACTCCCCTCTCGCTGGGTGCAACCCGAGGGGTAAGAGCGCCAGTCCACAAAACCCGGCGCTCGGCCCCGCCGCACAGGCCGCCACGCCGGGAAAACACTACTGGCCTTCCCCGTGCCACTGCAAATTCCTCCCAACAAAGGTGCCCGAAATGCAAGGCCTTTCGCATTTTCTAAACAATACATTGTCCAGCCCTGCTGCATCACCAGGACAGTCCAGCCAGCAAACTGACAGCCCTTGCTTGATATCGTGTGGCTGATGCGAAGCATGGCAACTAGACTCAACAACATGCACGTTAAGCACGAAATCTTGTGCTTGGCTTGTGAACCTTGTGGAGCTAGAAAAGCAGGCACGTCTCGGGTGTTGAAGCTGGCTGTACTGGATATGAGTCTTTTGCCAGCACACAATGCCTTTGCCTCACACCGACACATATCAAGGCAGCTGGGATATTGGGGTTGCACTGCTCACGGCCTCACAAAGACACCATTGGCAGCACCGAACTGTCAATTTACAGCCACCTTGATGCAGCACCCCTCGGGTGACGAAGCAAGCAGCAAGCAACCACAGGGTAGGTGTCATCTCGTTTGGATGCAGGCTTTCCCACCGGGCAAATAGGATGGAACATCACAGCTTTAAACAGGGCCCACAGCCGCCTGATGCCGCAAGTGCGGCTTTGACAAGGGTGCCGCTGTTTCTTTCTCTGCCTACCGCCTGGTCCCCTCACCTTCCAGCTCTCGATGTCCTTCTCTCCCCACAAACAGGCCATCAATCAACACAATATAAGTTTGTTGATAGATTGTTGTGGTCGTATACGCCCTTGCTCATCGAGGGCCAGAAGAAACCGTTCGTCGGTTCGCTTGGTGCGAAGGCACGCATTGCGAGCCGGGCTTCTTATAGAATCACTGAATAAATAAAATATATCTTAATATAACATCTCATTTGTCCGCAGGCGGGGGAAAAGCAGCGATGGCGATCCGCCATTTCGCTGCCGCGGCCCTGGTCTTGTGTTACGTGGCTGCCCACGTTTCTGGTGAGTTTTCACGCCCTTTTATCGATAAGCTGTTTTGGTTGCAGGCGCGGCGGCCAACCGGCGCATGCTGCATGGTGCGGGATGCTGCAGCTGCCGCGTTCAATCGCACCGGGGCACCCATCCCGCCTCTGGCCCCCTGCGCCCTCGTCCTCTGCAGCCACCCCTGGCTGCACCACAATCGTCTCCGGTGAGACGCCGCTGTTTGGCACGTCCCTCAAGAAGGCCTCTGACAAGTGGGTCGACCAGGTTGCCAAGTGGAAGGCGACCGGCGACCTGACCAAGCTGCAGCTCTTCTACTCGTACTCATACGGCTGCGTCTTCGGCGTCAAGCCCACTTATGGGTACGACTCAAAGGACGCTGCGCTCCTGGGTGTGGAGAAGAACCTGCAGGGCACCCACTTGTCCCTGGGCGCCGGCGAGTCGTTTGTTGAGGCGGAATACAAGGCCGGCGGCAAGTGAGTGCATGGGGGCAGCCATGGGTGGGGAGTGAAGGTGGAAAGGCGCGTGCAAAGGTATCATGCTTGGTTTGCCATTGGGCTGGGTACCCCGCGGGCTGCCGGTGCCGCTGCATGCAGCAGCATTGAAGCGCGAGCTCCTTCAGCACGGACATTGCAGCAAGGTCCAGCGCTCGAGCCGATGTTCACGGCGCCTCAATCAAACACCCTCCTGCCCGACAGGTGCCTTGAGTACTTGAAGCTGAAGACCAACAAGGGCCGCACCCTGTCTGTGGGCAATGAGAAGTCCTCCACAATGACCAGCACAGTCACAGTCAACCGCCAGGGCGCATTCCTCGCGTCCTTCAAGGGCTGGGTCGACAAGGACGGCGCGCTGCAGCAGCTGCAGTTTGTGTGGGGCCTGACCGAGTGCGCCCCCGGCCACACGCCCGTGGCCAAGGCGCCCGAGCCCGCGCCCGCACCCGCGCCTGCGCCCGAGCCCGAGCCTGTGGCGGCGCCGGCGCCCGAGGAGTCGCCCACGCCTGCGGAGGCGGAGGCGCCCGCTGCGCCGGCTCCCGAGGAGGCTCCCGCCGAGGCCAAGGACACCCCTGCAGCAGAGGCCGAGCCTGCGCCTGCCGCTGAGGCTGACACCCCTGTGGCGACGCCGGCGGCCGCCCCTGCCACCCCCACCGAGGTCAAGGATGTGTGCCCCCCGAAGCCCGACATGTGCGACACTTCCGCCGACGCCGGCGCGCTCAACAGCTGCAAGGCCAAGCACCCCTTCACGACGAACAAGTGCATCGGCGGTTGCTGTGTGAGCAGCGGCCGCTGCAAGTTCGGCAGCTGCTTCGCCAACGGCCTCGGCAAGGACGTCCCCATGGGTTGCTTCGGCACCAACGCGCTCCCCAACCCGCTGGCACTGCTGGGCAACCGCTGCGGCCACCTTGCCTGCAAGCTCGCCGTGCCCGGCTGCAAGTCCGCCGTCCTCGGCGGCAACTGCGTGGGCACCGTGGTCGCCGTCCAGGACGTGTCCAAGCTGCACCCCCTGGGCGCCAAGTACATCGGCCACCCCTGCATCGAGACCACGCCCACCGCCGGCCTCGTCAACCTGCCCAAGCTCATCGACCTCGGCCTGCCCGAGCACGAGTATGCGCTCGCCGGCTGGAAGGTCTGTGACTGCGTCGACGCGCTCACGCTGCCCAAGCTCCCCGACCTTGGGAAGCCCGAGCTGCCGCAGCTGCCCCACCTGCCCGAGTTCAAGCTGCCCCAGTTCCCCAAGATCCCTGACCTGCCCAAGTTCCCCCACTTCGACCTATTCGGCCACGCCAAGAACGGCTCCGGCATCCCCGGCTTCGGCTTCGGCCGCGCCGCGGCCAAGGGCGACGACGCGGGCGGCGACGCGTCGCTCGGCGCGGGCGGCACGTTCACGGCGATGAAGGACCTCCTGCTCGCCAAGCAGGACACCACCGACCCCTTCGCCGCGTTCATCGACCCGGCCGCCGGCGCCGCCGCCGATGCCTCCGCCGCCGCGCCCGCGCTCGAGGCTGGCAGCGCCGAGGCGCCCGCCGCCGACGAGCTCGCGCTGTCCGGCGGCGAGGCCGCTGCCGCGGCGGCGCCAGAGGATCCCCTTGCCGCGGCGTCGCTCGACGCGCCCGCCGCCGACGCCGCGGGCGATGCGGCAGCCGCTGCGCCTGAGAGCGGGGAGGCAGAGGGGGCGGTTGCTGGCGATGCGGCGTCCAGCAGTGGGGCCGCTGATGAGGGCGCCCCTGCTGAGGCCATTGCTTAGCTGCGTCCCCTTCTTTTGGCAATTATGGTGGGAACGGTCCATGGCCGCGCGCAGTGCACGCTTGCGCGCGCGGGGTTGTGACCGTTGCTGCGGCTTACTAATCATTGGCAGAGCTCAAAAACTCAAATACACCCCTATTGTGCGGCGGTGCTCCTGTGTAAGTATTGAGTCACACCTTCTGGATACTCAAGAATGATGTGCTGCACACACAGTTCAGGGAGTTGATGTTGGGGAGGACACAAAACCCAACCCAAGCCTGCAACTCACGCAAGACCCCGTCCCACATTTGCTTGCTGGCCATCGCTACCATCTGAGATGCGTGTATTGGTAGTGGATGCCGTTGTTTTACGTCACATAACAGCTTGTGTAATACGAGCCATTCTTGCATCAATGCGTGATACAAGGGTGTTAGTCAAAGCAAGCTTGACTGATTTAACCAGACAAGAGACCAGTGAGGTGCAGGTTTCTGGCCAAAAGAGTGGAGCGCCCGCCACCCTGTGGTGGTGTTGGTCAAACCCTGGGCCACGCAAGTAAGCCCTTTGAGCACAGGGAAGTGCCTTCGAGCCCCTGAGATGCTGCTGCAGGTAGGCCAGAGGCAGTCTTCGGTCACAACCTGCAATCGCTGATTGCGGCTCCATGTGAAAGCGTCCAAATCCGGCAGTAGCCACCCACCAGCCACCCTACTCATAGCAACCGTAACGCCCTGGCAAGCTGCTCCTATAAAGCGGTAACGTCGACGGGTCCGGTTTTGATTGCAAACAGCGCCGCTATGGTGCCACAAACACTGGGTAGCCTTTGATCCTGCCTAAGTGTCAATGCCCAAGCTGAACAAGCAGCTGAGCACGAGTGCGCGATGGACGGGGTCTTGCAACTCACCATGACGAGTTGGATAATCAGTCAGCAGGCACTCAAGCGTGATCATACGTGGGGTGTTGCCATGACTGTGACGCAGGGCGCACATGCTGCCAACGGGTCTAGGCGCAATGGAGGGGAGGAGTGGTGCCCACTCTCGGTGCACCAATGCGTGTGCTACTCACCAGTCAGTATTGACTGTTGCTGGGCCGCGAGCTCTCATGCTGGCATCTTGAATAAATACTGCAGTAACGTGAGCTGCCTGGTTTCGCGCAGGGTGCAGGTGGGCAGGGTGAGGTCTGATGAGTTTGATGTGGAGAGCCACTTGAGCAAACAGGGTTGCGATCAATTGCCCAGAATGTGATACGGTAGTCTACTTGGGGGCAGCCCCTGAGTGATCACCAGAGGTTGATGGGGGCTGTACAGGTGCTGACCTTGGAAGACCAACATCCCGGCCTTTCGACTCCAGCCCCTATGTGTATGCCTTATGAGTGATAAGCGCCAGCAGAGCAGGTCCGCGCAGGCCGTGGCAAACCTTGCATGCAGACGTGAGGTGCAAGAGTGCAAGGTGATGTCGGTGAGCACTCAGCAGACGCCTTCATCAGCACACGGAGACGATGGCAAGCCCCGCCCATTGGGCAGGCACACATCGCCTCTAAGCCGTGCCAGGACACACACAGCACTAATAAGCAAGATGCAGTCTCTCAGCAGCAGGCCGGGCTTGGCACAATGTGGTTTGGCACGCCGCTCGGTACGCAGCAACGAATGGCGAGACGAACATTTTTTGATGGCGGTATCACTAAAAAGGGCCCCATGCTGCGCAGGCGGGAAGATCTGCTTCCGTGCGAGTCCTGGCCTCCGCGGGCCAAGGCTTCGGCGAAAAGCAGCAGCGGCAGGTGAGTTGGAAGACAGTTTGCATAATCCATGCAGCAAGGGGCTGGCACCATGGGCAGCGGCGACAGGGGCGTGGTCCGCATTGGATGCGCTGTCGCCACGGCCGCTGCCACTGAGCCACCAGTGCGAATGTCTACATGGGCGCTGCCGTCCGCAATGCAATACCTCAGAGCCCTCGACGCTGTGTCTGAACTTTATTCCGCAGCGGTCAAAGGAGGAGGGGGCTGCAGCAGACGCGCCGTCCACCAGCGGCAGCACAAGCAGTGCTGAGGTGGACGTGGATGCCGCCTTGGTGAGCTCTGCTCTGATGCGGACTGCAACGTGCGTTGCCCCTGCACGACGCCTTGCCCACATATGGACACGGCACAACTATACGGCTCAAAACAAAGCAGCGGCATGTACCGCGGAGAGCCAGCAGAGTCCCCACATGGGTGCCCGTCCGGCCACGCCACAGCTCACGCCATGCCCAATGCACGGCGGCCCACACCCCCCAGGCACGCCGCCGCAGCCGCCGGAGGATCCAGCCCGCCGTGAAGGTCGAGTCCGCAGCGGTCGCGCAGGCGACGGGCGCGGCGCCGCAGACGCCGGTCGGCGAGTTTGAGACCGCCGTGGTGCAGCTGCTCGGCGGCTTCTTCGCCCTCCTGCTCGCGGAGGGCCTTTTGCTGGCGGCCTCGGTGAGCTGCCCCATTGAGCTGCAGCGGACGGCGACCAGAAAGCATTGTTCGACCTCAAAACAGCGTTCAGCACGACCAGCGGGTCAGGGAGCATAGGGATGTTGGGCGGGCGGGCGTGATGTTGGGTGGGGGGGGGGGTGGAGGTGAGGAGAGAGGATCAGCTGCTCTGCCGTGTGGTCGTCCCAGGCCCTCCCATACCCGACTCAACCGGCTCGTGTTTGACACCTGTGACTGGACACGCTTCACCATTCCACCCCTTTCTGCACATCACCCCAGGGCTTCCTGCCGGAGGACTGGGACCAGTTCATTGAGAATGTGCTGTACCCCAGCTTCAGCCCCCAAATGCTGGCATTCCTGGGGGCCAGCTCGTTCTATGGTGGGCGCCGCTGGCCACACGCCGGGGCCAGGGCTGGGTGCGCACTCATGCTGTGTGTGCTGGGTCGACCATGTGTGGAGTGCAGGGGACCGCAGTGGGCGTGTTGGGGGTGGGCCCTCAGGTGGGACCCGCGGCGCGGCAGGACAAAAAAGGAGGCCAACCTTGAGCGTGCATACGCAAACGCCTGTCGCGCACCAACCCTGCTCCTGTGCTTACGCAGGCCTTTGGAAGACGGGGAAGCTGCCCGGACAGAAGCAAATGTGAGACACTCTTCCGGTCGGCGTACTGTGTTCAGAGCAGCCCGTGGAATCTCAGGAGTCGTTGCCCCGGTACCGCACCCAGAACCCACACACAATCCTGCAGACTGTGAATTTGGCATCGCCAGCAGGACGCGTTTCTCCCCTGCACGTTGACCGCACAGCAAGCCAGCATAGACACCTGATTTACAACGTCAACTGTAACGCCGTTGGTTGCTGCTGTCTGGGGAGGCGTGCGCCCGGGCTTGTACACTTGGTGCGAGCCCGCAGACGCTCACAAAAGGGGTAGGACAGCGCCTTGCAGGCGCAACGCGTGCACACTGGCAGCGGCGTGGCTGGCGGCCCAGCTGACACGCTGGATGAAGGAAAACACCTCCATGAATTTGCATTGTACGTACGTTGCCAATGATCGCCTGGCCACAGGTGTGAGATGCGCGGTGGCGGGACTCTCTCATTTATAAGACTGCAAGTGCAGGCGGGCGGCACCTCCCCAAGTGGGATCATCGGCTCAAGAGCCGCCCGGCGGCAGTCGAAAAAGCGCACGCAAGCAGCACTGTTGCAGCGCCAACAACGAGGTCGGGCGCCGCTGGTCCTCGGTGGAGTCCGCTCCGGCCCAGGCGCAGGCCACGAGGAGCCGGGGCTGCAGGCGCACAAGACGAGCCGCCCTTCGGAAACGCCCAACAGAGCAAAAGAATCCCACGCTACCCCAAAGTGTCAACAGTGCAGAAGTGACGAAAGGCAGCAGGAGCTAGGACGCAGCGCAAAGCTCCAGCCAGGGTCCCCGCGCGCCGCTGGCCCTCCATCATTGCCAGGCTCTTAGCCAGGGCCGCCTGCGAGGGTCTTTCCACAGCCTCGTCGGAGGGTCCAGTGCATGCGGAACCAAGCGCTGCGGCCCCACCGCGGCGCCGCGCGCACGTGCGGCGCGGCGCGGCGCTGGGTGCCTGCAGGGGGGGGAGGGCTGGAGAGAGGGCTGGTGGGCTGCTGCCTCGTTGAAGTGGGGCGAGAGCGACCGCGGCGTAGAGTGAAGAGCAGCCACCTCCGAACGCCGGCGGGCGGCTTGCATGAAGGCAGCCGTGAGCGCATTTGCAAAGCAGCCGGATGCGGATGTTAAGGGCGGCGCGCTTCGCCGCCGTCAAGTGGCAATGGCCTGATTGGGGCCGCAGTCAGACGGAGTGGGTGCCTCGTTTGTACAGAGTCGGAAAATGGATTATGAAGGGGCGGGAGGGAAACAAAGACAGGAGGCCGCCAGCTGTGTTCAACCATCATGTTCTACCAAAGTCACAGGCGTGTGCGGAGCGGCAAAAGGCAACGCCGGGGGTGGCAGGCACCGCGCAGTCCACGAGTGGAAAGAGCCCAACGAGACGATGGCGCACGCCACCGCTGCCACGCGACGCGTGCACCCCATCATTCGCGACACGCAAGGCCAGGCCAGCCGGTGGGCCGCGCAAGCGCAGTCAAACTGCGCGCGCTCAAGTCACAGCTGAAACCAAGCTCAAGTTCCACAGCCAAGGTGCGTCGCTGCGGAAGTGCCAACGGGACACCCTCGCACATGCACATGACAATGGGGACGTCGCCGCCATTTTGGGTCTAAGCATACCCCTGCCCGGACCCGTAAATGCCAAGGCGCCAGCGTGAGTTGCTGCTTGACCCAGCTGCCGGATGCGGGCCCTTCCAGGGACATGTCAACATTCAAAGATCTGACCGCTCGCCTGCCAGGCCTGCAGCGGCGCCGGCCGCGCGCACTGCTAGTCTGTCAGCGCGATGGACGGCCGCAGCATGAAGTTGGCCGGGTCCTCTGCTGAGCCCACGGCGCCGGCCACCGCGCGCCCCACAGCCCCAGACATCAGCACCGGCCCCGCCGACGCGCAGCGCGCCGGCGGCAGCAGCGGCCGGCGGGCCGCCCCCCACGGCGTGGGGGCGCGCGGCGCGCCAGCCGCGGCGGCGGCGGCGGCGGCGGCGGCCTCGTCAGCCGCCTCGCAGGCGCTCAGCCGCGCGTCCAGCGCGGAGAGCACGAGCTCTGTCACGCCGTAGCGGCCGCCTGCGAACGCCCCAAACGCATCCACCCTTGAAAAGGTGAGGGACAGGTAGGTGGTCCCCGCGCGCACGCTGCCCTCCGGTGCCAGCCGCTGGCGCGCTGCCCGAAGCTCCGCGGCGCCGCCGCCCCGCTCCCGCGCGTAGCGCGCCGGCCGCATCACGCACGAGAGCAGGGACGCGAGCCGGCCGCTCCCGGCCGAGGCGGCGGCGGCGGCGGCGCCGCCGCTCGGGCCGCTTCTGATGCTGACCAGGCTGCTGCGGCGCAGCAGCGTGGCCATGCGCTGCAGCCACGCGGCCGGCGCGGTGGCGCCGCCCGCGAGGGCCGTGCTGCCGGCCAGGCTGCCAAAGGTAGTGCCGCCGCCGGGGCTGCCTGCCAGGCTGGAGCCGGACGTGGTGGCGAGGCTCTTGGAGCTCGGCCGCCGCGGAAGGCTGGCGCTTTGCGCAGGCCAACAGAATGGAGGCGCTGCCGCCGCCGCAGCCGCCGGCCTCGCGCCGCCGCCGCCGGCCCGCGCGGCGCTGGGGGGCCCGCTGTGCGGGGCGCGGGCGGACCTGGAGGCGCTCTTGCCGAGCGACGCCGCGGCAGACCGCCTGGACAGGCGGTCGAGCCGCACTTGCTCCTTGAAACTCGAGCCGCCCTCCCC